TGTTGATGATTCTTCACAAATAGTTTAGAAATAGATACAAATTAACAGTCGAAAACTACGGTGAACCATGTATAGATAGAATTTGGAAACATGATTTTATTAATAATTAACTGGAACTGGTAGAGTTATCGGGCTAACGAACACGTTTATATATATACAAGCTGCTATACCCGTGCTTTGCAACGGGAAGAAAATGTGACCTAGAGAGCTATTAAAGTGGTGCTGATGTGTGTTTTAAAATACAGCAACTTTATGATTTAGTTTGAAAATATAAACTGATTTAAAAGCGTAAACCTGCTTACTTTCAAACCCCTACTTTTGATGTTAATAATATTATATTAATCCCCTAAGAATATTATACCATACCTTAGTGTAGCAATAGCATAAATTATTGCTTCATATTGATGCTTTATGAATGACATTACCATTTTCTTCAATTTTATTCAAGCCTCTTCACATGTAGATTACTATATAAATACAAAAATGAAACTTTGAGCAATACTTTACAAAACGTATTCAACCTCACTTTAAAAGCAAACATAACCCTATTCAATCTACATAAAGTGTCACAAACATCTTATTCGAGTAAATAAACAAACACCAGTTCATTGTACTGACTAGCTGTTTCATTACGGTAACTAAATTAAATTAAATCATGTAAACATTGGAAGCATGCCAGGCGTAGCCCTTTGTAAATCAGCCTGTGGGGCAGAGCCCTTAGGAAATTCGTCCATATCAATACTTTTCGGCAATCGGCAAATCTACACACTCTAAGCTTCATTTTGATGTGCCATATGCCAATATTTTTATTTGGTAAATGACCTTAACCGTTTACATAAAATTTGATTGTATCACTTTAATTAATAGATTATGTATGTATGTAATTAAAACGGATGGTGTTTTTGACCTCTGAGGACATCAAAACAAAAATTTAAATCGTTCCCGGGTCTAGGATTTTGAGACCTTCGGTAATAGCTTTTTCCCTATATGGTAAATTTGCTAATAGTAATGTCACATCTACTAGCCAATCGCTGAAACTGATTACTAGTCTCCCATCGGGCCTGTACTGGTGGAAGGATGCCTACCTGCTGTTTCTTGGTTTACACACAATTCCTTAGCAGTGTATTAGGTTCTAAATCAAAAACTGTGGACTTGATTCTTTCATTTTCGCAAAACAAAATGACTTAATCCATAGTAATTCTATTTTGGGAAAATTAAAGATCAAAAGTTAAATTGAGTCAAACAGTAAGACATTTTCACATTTGGTTTTTGCTGAAGACACTATAATTGAATAATCACGTGTCCCTGCCACAGGTTTGTGCAATGTGAGGAAACGTAAGGGTGGTAGATGGGGGAGGGAATTGGAGAACAATAAAAGGAGAGCATTGTAAGAGCAGGTGGCTGGCTCATACAAGTTTAAAATTTCATTTGGTCCAACGCCAAAGGTAAGAGAACATCATTGCTCTTGAGGAGCGGCATTGGTCGATACAACCGACTACAATTCACTGCCTCTCTATTAAGTGGTCTAAATCTTCATTACTTCAACTAAATAAATGTTTAATTTATTTGTCCTGACTTGATCAAGCTATATATTATGCCATTTTTATTATTTAACTGAACCAAATTTCACCTCTACGGTTGAATCATATGGAGAAGCTAGATTACGTAAAGAAAAAACCATGATATAATACATAGCTAGTAAAGATGATACACAAAGAACAACAAAATCAAAACTCAACAAACCAAAAGAAGAAAAGAAAAAACTCATAAGAGCTCCATATGTGATGAATAAATGTTAATAGATAAACAATTAAGAAACCAGTTGATGGATCTAATTGGAAAACTACGAAACATGTAAGAACTAAAACGTATTTAAAATACCCCCGCCGTAGCAAACCTGCAGACTAAGCGAATTTCCATTTGCCTGATTGGATTTAGACTAAAATGTCTCCTTAAAAATATCACATTTATTCCCTATTTAAATAGAATCAGTTTAACACATACTTAGGTTTACTGCAACAGGGAGGGTAAAAGTGTTTTTTTTTTAAGTAAAATGTTAATAGTTAGTAAGAAATAAAAACATTTTCCAAATTTGGGCAAAATATGTTAATAAACAAGCACACTACAACGGTTTACTTATTCTCCATAAGAATAACATGGGAATTTTAAATTAACAATTTTTTGGAATTTTCTCCGTAACCATTAGGCGCATTATAACGCTTCAATATACTAAATTATTTGTTTTTTTAAGCTCTACAAAATGGTTTGGAAAGAAATTTCAAAATTTTATGTTTTTTGGGTCAAAAATAGGAAAAACCCCCATAAACCCCTGTTCCCATGGTCCGATCATGCTGGTTCGCGAACTCGTTCGAATAAACGTAGGTTCACACGTTTGTACCAAATTTCATCAAAATCGGATCATTTTTGCTCGAGTTATCGCGCTAACGGACACACATATATATATATATATGAATTTGAACGGATGGTGTTTTTGGCCTCTAGGGACCTCAAAACGAAAAAAAAAATCGGTCCCGGGTCCAGGTCTTACCATGAGTACTACGGTAATAGCTTATTCCCTATATAGGAAATTCGCTAAAATCAGAAATCTACAAAATTTTGAATGATTGCTCTAAATGTTGTATTGGTTAAAAGGAAAATTTCTCGTCACTTCAAAGAACATACTATTCAAGCAGTGAAATTGAAACAAAAAAATCAATATCTACCTTTAAAATAGCAACATATAGCCAGAAAACAGCCCCTGCATTTGAGGGATTGTATCATGTGTTGGTCAGATCTGGTGAGCAGCTCAGGAGGAGGCCACCTGGCTGTGGCAGAGCTATAGTAGAGATCCGTCTAAAATGGTGTCAAATAAAGAGAAGTTTTCGTGATGGGTGGATTCTTTGTCAATTGCACCTCGAATCAGGTATTTTGCTACTTTTGAGTATGCTTACTGAGTGTGTATTTGGAGAGAACTTGTTTCAAAGTAAATTTATATTTGAGTTCATAAGATGAAGAAAAATGTAATAAAATTAAAGCATAATTTAAATTAATAGGAATAATTCATTCCGGTATGTTTTTTTCCTTCGTGATGCTTATAACATATAACAGAAGCTAGATTACGTAAAGAAAAAACCATGATATAATACATAGCTAGTAAAGATGATACACAAAGAACAACAAAATCAAAACTCAACAAACCAAAAGAAGAAAAGAAAAAACTCATAAGAGCTCCATATGATGACCCACTCCTGATATTCTGTTTGATACATTATTCATAGCAGAATATCTGACATTGCTGAGATACAAAGCTTCTACTTGGGGATCAAATAACTCTACAAGATGGAAATACAATGAATGGTATAACAATATATTATAACAACCTAAGAATAACATTAATAGGAATAGTCTGTGGAGTTGAAAGACTTATTTTCTCTCATTACTAGTGAGAAGAAGTCGTTCACAAAAACGTATGTAGGGAAAGTCACAGAATATGTTAAAATAAAAAACAAATACTGTAGAATAGTTAACTGAAACCATAAAGATGACGTCCAGTAGTTAAAGTATACCAAACTAAGAAGTTTTTAGATAGCTCAGGTACAGGTCGGTGCACATGTTACAACTCTCAACTGAGAGGTGAAATGTAGAACACAACTTGGTGACTTGTGATAGTCCCTAGTGTCTATGTCAAGTGAACAGTATATTACTGCAAGAGCAAAGGTATTTGGAAACAAATAATACATGTTACAAATCAAACCAACCCTTCTGCAACGTTGAACTAAATACCCACGCCGCAGCAAACCTGCAGACTTAGCGAATTTCCATTTGCCTGATTGGATTTAAACTAAAATGTCTCCTTAAAAATATCACATTTATTCCCTATTTAAACAGAATTAGTTTACCCACTTAGGTTTGCTGCAACAGGGAGGGTAAAAAAGTTTTTTTTAAATGTAAAATGTTAAAAGGTACTGTGGTTTAGTAAGAAATTAATGTATTTTCCAAATTTGATCAAAATATGTTCATAAACAAGCAAACTACAACAGTTGACTTATCCTCCATAAGATTAACATGGGAATTTTAAAATTACAATTTTTATGAATTTTCTCCGTAACAATTAGGCGCATAATAACGCTTCAATATACTAAATTATTTGTTTTTCTAGGCTCTACAAAATGGTTTAAAAATAAATTGTGAAATTTTGTGTTTTTAGGGTCAAAAATGGGAAAAACCTATTTTTACCCCATAAAACCCCCCATAAACCCCCGTTCCCATAGTCCGATCATGCTGGTTCGCGAACTCATTCAAGTTTATCCCGCCTTACACCTTCAAACCAAATTACTCAAGTTATCGTGCGAATGGACACACATATATATATATAGATATATAAAAATTTGAACGAATGGTGTTTTTGGCCTCTGGGGACATCAAAATGAAAAAGTAAATCGGTCCCGGGCCTAGGTCTTACCATGAGACCTACGGTAATAGCTACTTCCCTATAGGGGAATTCGCTAAAATTATGCGTTTATAATACAATAACAAAGGTGCATTCTTACATAAATGTTCAACAAACGATAATCTAGACAAACTGTATTGTAAAAGTAAATCTAGATTTTAAAATTTTTTAAAGATATACATTTAATAATTGCATTCAATATTGGATTATTTTGAATTTGATTATAGATGTAATGTAACCTTTAATTTTCACTCATTTAAAACTAGTTGTCGAAAATAAGACCACAATTAAGACCTGCAAGTCAAGTTACTACTGTATTGCAGGTTAACACATTTTACCAAGCTAACATGTTGCTTTCCAAATTCCATATGCATTTTACAAACTAACTTTATGAACTTACTAATGATAAAAATATCGTTGATTTGTTAAAACTTTGAATCTACAAATTGATAACACTATGCATATGTCCCCTTACAATTTACAACATTTGCTACCTGATAACAGTACTGATATGATATTGAAACTCTTCTAAGGGTAATTTAAAACTTACCTAAATCACACGGAGGAACAAAACCATGTCGTCAAGTAACCTGTAAAAAAATCATGTTCACTTTATCTATTCAATAAATTCAATCGTTACGAAATAAATAATAAATCAATCTGATTCTGGATATAAAAAGTAATGAAGAGAAGAGGGATTGATGCAGTACGCTACCTACGACCCACTCCTGATATTCTGTTTGATACATTATTCATAGGAGAATATCTGACATTGCTGAGATACAAAGCTTCTACTTGGGGATCAAATAACTCTACAAGCTGGAAATAAAATAAATGGTATAACAATATATTTCTGCAATAGAATACTTTGATTTGAGGTATTAAGGATGATACTTTGTATACAGCACTTGGATAATTCAGTAATATATTCCGTTCAACGTAGATAAATTACTGGCTGATACAAGGCAAATCGCTCCTTGGTGCAACCTGCGTCAGTCTGTTGGCCAAGCTTACTTCAATGTTTTTATGGGTTAATGATGACAAAGACATTTATCAGATGTTAGAGACAGTCTTCAATTTGATGTTTGGATTTGATACTGGGTCGTATTACCCAAAACTAGCAATACTTAAATCACCGATTGGGCTAGAGGTGGACAAGGTAAACAACCTTTATACATTTCAACATTTTTGGCATTTTTTTGTGGTAACATTTTTTTTTATATAGGTTTAAACACAACACCCTGGGCCACTGTAGTAATGGGTACAAGAGGTTTTAGGTTTGTTGGGGACTCATGAAAGAGACGAATTCCTCACAAAGAAGGGGGGGAGGGGACGCAAATATCTCTTGGGCCCATAGTGAGCCACATTCAAAACTGCGGGTCTGCCAAGCCACTCTTTAATTTACTAGTTCTAAACTTTTCTCGCACAATGAAGCACATACTAGACACATTTTCAGTATTTTTTTTACGTACCGTAATGCCTTAGACAAATAGGACAAATATTTATATCACTATGGTACTATGGTAATGCCTACATAAATAGTTGTATGAGAAAGGTTGATCATATTATTCTGACATTGACATCTGATACATTGGTTGCTGAAGTAAGAAGTATTTTAACTTAAGTTGGTATTTCAGGGAGGTAACACCGGATACAAGTATTAATGTTTAAACAATGAGGATAAAATATGGTTTTATAACAACACCAATATAATAGGACTGATGGTTCAAGTCAATAATTATACACGACAATTATTTATTTAACTTTCAATATTTCTATAAAATAAATTATTGCAGCTTTCAGCAGTTAAAGACGTATAGCGATGTTTAATCTGAATGAAATAATATCACCACAAAACTAATTCTTTAATTATTTGTAAATTTTAGATCATTGGGTTTGAAACTGATCCACAAATTAAGTCATTAAATGTATAACGTTACAAAATCATTACCCAAATAAAACTACTGTTGTAAACAAAAATATTTAAGGAATAAAAATTATGTCAATTTAAATTTATGTACAGGTGCAGTTTATGTCATTTTTTAAATTATTTTTTTCTTGATCTACCAAACTATCAAAAGACTTGCATTACTGTAAAGAATTTAGATTCCAGAGTTGAGTGGTTAAATTTTATATACAGTCTGAACAATTCCAAAGATGAATGATAATACATCTCAAAATGTTTGATAACATGCAAATAAACTAGACATTTCCTAAAACCCAAACGACATAAAAACTGAATCTAAGAGGTTGGTTGCTGTTTGCTAGACTATTGATTGGTAGAGAGGTCCGTGTAAGACTTGGTGATTTGTATTCCAGACTGTTTCAACCTACTAATTACGTTCTTAGCAGACTTCGCAGCTCTTTAATGTGAGCTTCGTCTTTCAACTTGCTCTCTACATCTGTACGACATCAGCTCCTTACCCCTCCTACTCCTTCGCAAACATTGGAAGCTTTTACACTATATTAAATAGTAGGTCAGCTGTCAAGCGCCCCTGGGCTGTGTGACCCTGTGCATCCTGTTTTCCTAATTTATTACTTAAGTTTTTAACCATACAATATGCAAGGTATAAAATATGAACTGATTAATTTATATACACTCGAAATTATTATGGATATAATAGTTAATCAGTGTTAATCTTAACTTAAACTCTTAACAAAATGTGCAGTAGGAGTTTTGTTTGTTTTATTTGAAGTTTTGTTTGAACTACAATCAATGGTCTTTGGGACCCAAAGTGGAAAAAAAGAAAACTAATAAATTGATTAAAAGTAAACAACTGCCTCAAAAATACATATAGAAATGCTATACAGTGTGTAAATTAAGTCTTGAAACAAAAGTGTATTTTTTAAACCAAAATAGATATAGATATTCTGTTTGTGGCGTTGATTGTTAACAAAGGTTCCGTAATTTTTTACATAAAAAATATTTGTTCACCCCGTGGTAAAATGTTGTTAAATACGAGGTGGATATCTCATCCCTAGGCAAAATGGCAGGTATTCCAAAATTTGATTTACTGTATGTTAAAAAGCACCAATTTCACAAATAATATGGAAATTAATCTGTAGTTTTAATACCGAAATAGATAGAAATATTCTTTCTGTGGAATTGATTCTTAACATAGGTTCTGCAATTTTTTACAACAACAATATTTTTTAACCCGTTTAAAGGGTTAAAGGGTTAAAGGGGGTGGGGATGACTTATTTTTTTAATAACAACCTCTATTGAGTGACCACTCATTTTGCAGGGTTAGATATTTCACCCCTAGCATAAATGGCGGGTATTACAACATTTTATTTATGTGAAAAAGCACCCATTTCGGAATACCCGCCACTTTGGTTAGGGGTGAGATATTCACCCCGGATTTGCGTCATTGTGTTTCTTTTTCTTTTGACAAACCCTTCAAAATGAGGGGTCACTCAATAGGGGTTGCTATTTGAAAAAATAAGTCACCCCCTACCCCTCTACCCTGTTGGGGGGCTTACAAATATTTTTGATGTAAAAAATTTTGGAACTTTTGTTAACAATTATTGCAAAAAAAAGAATATTTCTATCTATTTCGGTTTAAAAAATACAGATTTGTTTCAAGACTTATTTTACACACTGTATACTAGGTGAAACCTGTTGAAATTGCCGGTTACTCTTGAGGTTTTACGCAAATTCAGCTAACAGCGATAGATAGAGTGAAGTTATTAAAATACTAGCAAACCTGGCGCACATAATCGTGCGCAATCTAGACATGGGAGAAGAAGGATATGTATTGATATTTTTTATTTGGCGCTTTCTGGTTTCTTGGTTTTGTTGTTAAAGGTTTAGATGGTAAAAGGCCTAATTAAGTTCGCAGATTACACTATATCTGCAACCTTATCTAAGTATATATGTGTTTATTGTCTTTGCAGTTTTTTGTTGTTATTGTTGTGAAAGTCAGTAAAAGATTCTCTTTTGATTAAATCTATGATAACCTAAATGATAAACCAAACCCCCTCGTTACCACCACCACCTCTGGCTTAATTCTGGGACTTATTTTCCAGGCCGATTCCCCATGAAAAATCTTCTTTCTTCTCAGACTTCGGCCACTTTCAATCCTTGTTTGAACATACTATGTGTCCAAAAATGGCTCCTTTCCTCCCACCACCCTGAGCGATAGGGATCATTGTACTTCCTCTTCCACCAAGTTATATCTCCACAAATTTGCCTTGAGATTTTCCATGCCCTGTGACAAACTTCCTTCAATAATGAATGGCCCATCTACCAGTCAATAATTGTTACAGTATCCTTCTGATGTTTGGCATATATCCAAACATTTCCCTTTCTTTCTCATCTGCTCCCAGCCCATTTGCCACTCATATAATGTCTCCTCTCTTCTGGCACTCTTGCTTTCCGAAGTAGTCCTACCCACGGCCTTGCTTTCCAATATCCTAATCCTTTCTTCAAGGAGCAGGTTGAGTGGTATGGCTCTGGTCAAAAACCTAATCGTATCATGCAATACTGTGATGTATAATTTCCCTACTTTTAACAAAACTCTTCTTTGCATACTCAAAAGTTTCCTTTTCAATCTTATCTTCTTAGGATCCTTACCCCAGAACTCGCATCCGGAAAGCATTGCTGGCTCAACATACATTGTACAGCATCATCAAATGCTTCCCAGTCAAGCCTCTATTGGCTCTGGCCTGTCTTGCTAATTTCGCGAAGACTCACTTTTATTGCACATTTCCTCCACATGATTTTCAAAAGTCATTCGTTTACCTACAGTCACTCCTCAAGCCTGACAACAAATCAAAATTCCTGTTTAGCACAACAATGGCATTTTGCAAAATTTATAGGACCCGCCTATCCTACTTCACTTACATACCTTCCGATATGTTCATTCTTTTCCGAGATGAAAAACATGTTTGAAACTAGTTAAATATCAATAACCATTGATCATTATTCTTGTGAAACTAATCATAAATATCATACAGAAGAATGCAGGTGCCATCCCTTACAATAGATAAAGTTGGATAAAAAATTATTGGTCCTAAGATATTGATATTCTCCACTCATTAAATAATACTAGGGGTCGTCCAGTGGTCGAAAACTAAACCAAAAATATGTAATGTTCAGATTTCTCTATTTTCACCCCAGGCTATAAATAAAACATGTGATTCAAATTTCTTTCATTTGTTTTGATTTCCTGTTTACATTTCGTTGTTATTTCATCACCAGAATGGCAACCCATAAGGCCCATGTTAATTTTTTTCAAATTTTAAATTAATTTGTGTGCTTATTTTTTAGTTTTATTTTAATTTATAAAGGGATTCTATTCTGCACATCTACAGGAAAATATCTTTCTAACAGTAGCCTATGCGTAGATTTTATCGAAGTATATGGTTTTATACAACACAACTGGAACACCGGGTAGATAGGAGACGTGGGATGAAAAGCGTGCCGTTTTGGCAACCTTCGCCCACCACTATGAGGGACCCATCGCATATATGTCAGTTCCTCAAGCCGAATAACTCGAAAACCGTTGATTTTACAAACATTTTATATAGCCGCCATTTTGTTTTATGAATTTGAAAAATCGTCACAATTTTTTGGTAGCTTTGTCTAGTTGTCATAAACGTTTGTGCAAAGTTTCCATTTCGTATGTTTAACCATTCTTTAGAAAAAAATTAATAACTGAAAAAAACAAAATGGCAGCTGTGTGAGTAACTAAGGACTTCCGGACAATTTAAATATGATATTTAGGTATGTTTCTTACCCAGGAGCAATGCCCTAAAATATTGGTAGAGAGTTCCGGGACACCCTGTAATATACAGGGACAGGGACTGGTAAAGTTAGTTGGATACAATTTTTTTAATAAGGGAAAAAGGTTTTAATTATCTAGGTAGCCGAGTTATAGTGCTTGCCTTCAAATCTGAAGGTCGCTGGTTCGATTCCAAGCGAGATCGTTTCCAGACACAGATGCCATTTTGTAATTGGATTATGAATTAGTTTATGCTACCAAAAAGGAAGGTAGACGTTCCATAGTAACAAGACCAGGGTTTGGACTGTTCACTTTTAAAAGTAAAAAATTCCATTGGCATATAAACACACAAAAATAAATAATAAAATACAAACAGAACGATCATATTAGCCCAAGTTTCTGCAAATGCAAGGAAGGGTATCTTCAGCTCCTAGCCTAAACTTATCTGGAGAAGAAGAATTGGGTATTTTTCTGTTGGACCTTTGACTATTTGTGGGCAACCGACATGCTGATCTAAATTAGGTACTGATTTCTTTCTAATACACAAACTTTTTACCGATTCAAACTAATGGAATGACTTATTGTGAACTATAGCAACTGTTATGACCCATAAAGTTGGCCAGCAACAAACAATAAGGTAGAAAATAGAGTTTTAGTCACTAGCGCATTCTGTGACTGGCTCACTCAACTATGTTCTTTTTTAACAAAAAGTTGGCTACAGATGGTCCATATAGATAGAACGTCTACTTCAGTATCCAAGCAATAGTCAATGGCAGGGACATATTTCCGAATAGGCGGACTAGGGCGGCAAATTTTAGGGGCGGCAAAATTTTGAGGGTAAAAAAAACTGAGGTTTTAATCTAAAAAAATGTTTAGCAAATAATTCTGGGAACGGCAAAACAGCCATTTGAAATATTGAATATTGAATTTTGCATTCAAATCAAACAAACGTCAATAGTTTATTACCGCGGGAGCGGGTTGCCGAGCCGGCCGCTATGTACGTATGTAGTGGCAAACGAAGAAAACACTCCTCTCTGTTTACTTCATACGCCACTACGCAGCGGTAGCGATTGCTGAAAAATTCTTTTAGGCTTCTAGGTTAAAATCAAGAAGGAAAGTGTGAACAAATAATACTTAGGCCTACTACTGTACCAAAGTTAACTAATTTAAAATTGTATATTATTCTTTCAGTAAAAGTACGTAATTTTTTCTTTGCAATTCATGTGTTTTTTTGTAAATAAAAATTGTATAGTTAAAAACATAGGTATTTCTTTCATTTCAAATCAAAGCAAATCAATAGCACGTCTCTCAAGTCACAGAAAACATACTAATCTTACAGTACGTTTTCTGTGCTCAAATGGATCTGACTAAAAGTGTTCAATGAAAATCGTTATAAGAACCATTGTATACGACAATTTTGTGTGCCGTTTCACGCCGCAAAATGGGAATGTAAAAATACTTATTCGATAAAAAAAAGTTGCATTCTGTGTATGCCTATCCAGTGTGAATATTTTGCTTAAAAACGGCACAAAAATGTCCGTTAAAAGGGGTAAAAAAAGTTATTGAATTTGTTGATGCAGCTTGCAATATTACCGATTATTTTTCTACAAAATCAGCTGACAGGGCATGTATTGGCCATTGGGGTGATATTAGTGAGGTCAGGGAGTGTGCTGAAAAGTGGGAGGGGGGGGGGGGCGGCAAACTTTGTTGCCTAGAGGCGGCAGATACTTAAATACATCCCTGGTCAATGGTTGGGCACAGTCATCAAGGAGTAAGTTAGCAAACAATATTCATCTGCATCACCTGAACTTTTGTTTAGCAGTGAATGTACCTAGGCCTAATTAATTCTGTAGGCCTACAAGCTTTAATTTTAATTAAGTTTATATTGAAAATGACATGTGAAAATACGGCTATATTATTCTCTGCTAGGAAAAATAAGATGTGAAATTTAACTTAGACTTGAAAAAAGTAGCAGGTGAAATAAGGGTTTGTTTGAGCATGGTTCCGGTTAACATTTACATCAGTAGGCTATTGGTTATCTGCAGTTCTCGGTTGAGTTTTATAAAAGCCAGAAAGTAAATCTTCAATAGGGCCTAATAAATTTAGCATTTGTCATGCAATTGCAAAGTTTAACCCAAGAGACATGGCAAAGGCATCGCCAATGGAACTGGTTTGAAAATTACCGTACTTGACTGTATGTAAATCAGTATTGAGTGGAGATTATAACCTTATTATTACCTTAATAGGTACCTTATTCGTTGACCCATCGTATGATGGGAATAGGCTGTGTCTGCGTAAAAACTACTCATTTTAATTCCCGCACATATGTATATGACTCACAAGTTTAAAAAAAAGTAAAAAAACATAATTTAGTACTCATGGCGGTCGGTATGTTACTAATTCAGCTCATCCAAACTACCTTCCAGGAATTCCTTTATTGAGAAGTAGGAATTTTTACAGAAGAAATTTCCTGTGGTGGTTTTAAACTTTCTGCTGGCGAGGGTCTTAGTGGCAGCTGGGAGTTTGTTGAAGAAACGGATGGCGCTTCCAGGGAATAAGTCCCGATTTCTACTGAGGCGAGTGCGAGGTACATCGAGTTGATTTCTGCCTCTTGTATTATTGTTGTTGTGAAAGTCAGCCCTGGCCACCAGGCCCAGTTCATTGTTCTTGATTTCCTGCATGCATGCCCATATTATGTTGTGGCTATAGATGGTCAGGATGCCCAGGTTTTTGAAGATGGGTTTTCTATGCTCATGGCGATTGCTGCTAGTTATAATGGGTTGTGTCAAGACCACCAGCAAATTTAGATCCCTTCAGTTTTTCTCCTTATGAATCTATTTTAAGGACTAAAAAGGACCTACCTACCTATGTGTGATGGCATAAACAAAGTAGACATACCTAGCCTAGGCTTACGCTGAAAACGTAACTCTTAGAACCTCCAAAGCCTGTTGACACTTAACAAAGAAAACTTACCTGAAGAAGAGTTTAAATAGGCCTACTGAAAATGATGTAGGCCTATAGGTTGTTTTAAAGTTTGTTGAAATATTCCAAGTTGCTTTGTTGAGATTAAGTTAATAAAACTGTATTTTAACTCTAACCTTGCAGTAAAACAACTACAACACTACCACAGAGCACGAGCACGGGATAGTCTAGTTCAAATTTCAAAGGAGATATTTAATACTTAAAGAAACTGGCGATCGTGCAGAAATTGACACCGACACCTCTAATCCTAATGTAAACATAAACAATAATTTATAAACATATGTTCTCCAAGAAATAATAAAGGTAAGGATTAAACTTTTTTCTTGTTAATCTGGTGACCATTTTGTAGCTTATACATGGTTCATAAAGCCTTAATATTCGGTAGAATTTTGCTCATCCTCGTGCTTTGGGTTGGGCCTCGGGAGTCGGGAGAGGGATGTCAATCTAGGTTTTATATCTCGGCGCTATTTTACACAATATTCCCACAGAGTCGATAGCCAATTGTGACGAAACCCCCATTGTCATTCCACTTAAAGTTGACACTTCTATATCTTTATTGTTCATGGTTTTTTTAAGGATCCCATAATTATCATGATTGACCATCCAAATTAACTTTTACTAAAACTTTGCTAAAACGTTTCATATTTATTTCCTAATTTAATAGCATTATATTTAACGAGTACTTGGTTTGCTGCTACGGGGGCAGGCAGAGTTTATTTTTCTCTACCAAAGGCAAAGGTTAATAAGACCTTTAAATTGAAATTATGCCGATAAAATACTGTATAACAGTTTTCTTTTAGCGAATTTCCCTATAGGGAAGTAGTTAATTGTTACCACCGTAGGCACAGACAATAATACTGTAATACTGTAATATACAATATAATACCGGTACTGGTTTCCGTAGTCTGTGCCGTAGGTCTCCTGGTAACACCTAGGCCCGAGACCGATTAGTTTTTTTTCATTTTTATGTCCCCAGAGGGCAGAGGCCGAAATAGTTATTTGTGCTACTAGTGAGCAAAGTGAGCAATTGCACTCGAGTTACACATTATATTTTTCCTACAGTTACCATAAAACCAATAAATTGGTAAAGAAACGTGACACATTTTTACACAGAAGTGAACTTTTAATATGATATTTTATGCTGTGACAATAACAACAGTACAACAGCTGACCAGCTGATTTACAGCCAGTGCTGCCAACGTATTTCGCGCGCATACGACCTTGTCTGCATTGTTACGCGCTCACTATTTCGTTCCTTCACGTTGCAAATCTGGAGTGAGACAAAGTAATTAGAGTGAGACAATGTTAACATTGTCTCACTGATGAGCGAACTGGCCACTATGCTTTCTCAAATCAGTGAGAGAACTAGTTATTTGTGCAACTAGTGAGAAAAGTGAGCAATTGACTCACTCGAGAGAAATCCTTACTCACGAGCCGTAGGCGAGTGAGGAATGGTTTCTCGAGTGAGGCAATTGTACTTTGAACTCGAGTTGCACATTATACTTTTCCTACAGTTACCATAAAACCATAATTTGTTACCATATAATTTATGAAGAAACATAACCTATTTTTGTACAGTGAACTTTTAATATAACATTTAATGTGAAGTGACAAATACAACAGTACAACAGCTGACCAGCTGATTTACAGCCAGTGCTGCCAACGCATTTCGCGCGCATACGACGTTGCCTGCATGTTACGTGCTCACTATTTCGTGCCTTCACGTTGCGAATCTGGAGTGAGACAAAGTAATTAGAGTGAGACAATGTTAACATTGTCTCACTGATGAGCGAATTGGCCACTTTGCTTTCTCAAATCAGTGAGAGAACATGTATATTGTTAGGTAACTGTAGGAAAATGTACATTGTTAGGTAACTGTAGGAAAACACTATTGTTCAAATATATATATTAGTATATATATATTATTGTGTGTGTGTGTGTGAACACGATAACTTGAGTAACTTTTGTACGATTTCGATTAAATTTTGGCTTGAGGGTGTAAGGCGGGGTAAACTTAAAACGAGTTTGCTAACCAGCGCATGATCGGGCTATGGGAAAGGGGATTTATGGGGTAAAAATTGGGTTTTCTCATTTTTTTACCCTCAAAACAAAAAAATCCCGTTTTCTTAGTTAACCGTTTTGAAGAGCTTAAAAAACAAATAATTTAGTAGTTTATTAAAGTTTTTTTTGTTCGGTTATTACTGTAGTTATGGAGAAAATTAAAAAAAAATTTAATTTTAAAATTCCTATGTTATTCTTATGGAGAATATTGCAAATTGCTGTAGTTTGCTTGTTTGTGGATATATTTTGATCGAACTTGGCAACTTTTGTTATTTTATACTGGGCTATTATTATTTTACTAAAAATAACACTTTGTTAGCATCCCTGTAGCAGCAAAACCTAGGTATGGTATTATACTTGTTAACCTTATGTTATTTTAAACTAAACTGAAAATCAAATCAGGCAAATGGAAATTCGCTTAATCTGCAGGTTTGCTGCGGCGGGGATATTTATCCATAATATGACATGGGAATTTAAATATACAGTTTTTTTAGAATTTTCTCCAGAGCCTTTAACCGTACAAAAATGTTTGAATATACCAAATTATTCGTTTAAAGATCTACACAAATAAAAATTGGGTATATCCAATTTTTTTATGGTGAAAATTAAGAAAAATATGTTTGAAACAATTCAAAACCCATAACAACCTGGTGCTTTTACCCGATCTTGGTGGGTAGCAAACTCTCGGGTTTTTTACTTCACCCTAGTGAAGTAAAGGGTGACCCCTTAACCCTATATCTTGAGCGAATAAGATTGTTGTCAACCCACCAAGTTGTTCTTGAGAAGTGGCTGAACGCAGGAACTGGTAGTTCTTAATATTTTTATTTTGTACTACAATATATTAGTATCCTCAATGATTCTAGTCAAAGTCACTACAGTAGAATCTTACCTTTCACAAGCTCTTGTCAATTAATCATTCCTGTTGTTGTTGCCTAAGTATCACCGCTCTATTATGTATTTGTTAAATTTCATTGTTTGCCAAATCACATTGTATTAATTATTTATCCAAAACAATCTTTCACTGCTGAGTATAACGCGGCCCACACACTGGGGGGCACTTGTGTGCGCATATGTGATTCGCGAACAGCTCGAGGCGCATGCGCCCATGTGTGTGAGTAAATGTGCCCATGCTCGCGACGCGCCTGGTGCCTGTCGCCAGACCTTCGAGCTTCGTCACAAGTGCGCAAGCTTGTTACGAATTACGATGTGCACTAGTGAAAACTTACTATCGATAGTCACACTATCGATAGTTTTCGATAGTTTTTTAAAAACTATCGATACTATCGATAGTACTATCGATAGTCACTCAAATGGAATTTTAATGCATATAATATTGTATATATCCTGCCTGCATGAGTTTAAACAATGGTTTCTACCTAGTCGAAGATAAAGCTGTATCAGATTATTAATTTTATCAATTTATGAGTGACGCCCTGGAGCCACCTTTATGTTTTTTTTCCAAAATATTACAACATTTGTATAAAATAACAATAAGTTTTTTTAAGGGTTACAACAATAAAAAAAGAAAAATTCTCTTACTATTTTCTTTTTATTATTCACTACAAAAATATTTGTTTACTCACATAGCATAAATAATATATATATATACAGTGTGTAAATTAAGTATGGAAACAAATCTGTATTTTTAAAACCGAAATAGATAGAAATATTCTATTTGTGGCAATAATAGTTAACAAAGATTCCGCAATTTTTCACATGAAAAATATTTTTTTACCCCCCTAACAGGGTAGGTGGTAGGGGGTGACTTATTTTTTTCAAATAGCAACCCCTATTGAGTGACCCCTCATTTTGAAGGGTTTGTCAAAAGAAACACAATGACGCAAATCCGAGGTGAATATCTCACTCCTAGCTAACATGGCGGATATTCCAAAATGGGTTTTTTTTACAAAAATTAAATTTTTCATTACCCACCATTTAGGCTAGGGGTGAAATATCTACCTCGGGTTTGCGTCATTCTTTTTCTTTTAACAAACCCTTCAAAATGAGGGGTCACTCAATAGGGGTTGTTGTTGAAAAAAATAAGTCACTCCCACCCCCTACCCTGTTAAAGGGGTTGAAAAAATATTGTTAATTAAAAAAATTGCGGAACCTATGTCAACAATCAATTCCACAAACAGAATATTTCTATCTATTTCGGTTTTAAAAATACAGATTTCTTTCCATTATTTGTGAAATTGGTGCTTTTCACGTACAATAAATCAAATTTTGGAATATTCGCCATTTGGGCTAGGAGTGAGATATTCACCTCGGATTTGCGTCATTGTGTTTCTTTTGACAAACCCTTCAAAATGAGGGGTCACTCAATAGGGGTTGCTATTTGAAAAAAATAAGTCACCCCCTACCACCTACCCTGTTAGGGGGGTAAAAAAATATTTTTCATGTGAAAAATTGCGGAATCTTTGTAAACTATTATCGCCACAAATAGAATATTTCTATCTATTTCGGTTTTAAAAATACAGATTTGTTTCCATACTTAATTTACACACTGTATATATTTATGACAATCTAAAACCATAGATCAAAGGAAAATACCGTATACCGGTGTCTACTATGATGTATGCTAAAACCCACGAGGCAAATGTACCCATAAGTCCGGTAGTGAATTAGCAAATGCCCCCGCTTTCAAATGTTTGAGAAGGTAGCCTACTTGTCTACCAAGCTTTTCTACAATGAATTTAAAAAAAATAGTCTATAATATTAACTATATGTATGCATTAACAGACAAACAATGAAATGTAAGAGTACCAGATAATGATTTCTTTACTTAATTTAACGTAAAAAAAACTATCGATAGTCTCATCGATAGTATAATACTATCGACCCACTATCGATATTTTCAAACTATCGATACTATCGATAGTACTATCGATAGTAAGTTTTCACTAATGTGCACTAGTCTGTGGGAAACCGTCAACCGAAGCACATGTTCGCGAACTAGCAGTGTAAATCAGGGACTAGTAGGTCCATCGATGCATATAACCTAACTTAGACTATATACATCAACGACTAGGTCTGCGCCTGTGTGGCTCACAGTGTTTGTGGTCGTTCAACATTTACCACCCCACGTTTTGAAGGCTATTTGATTTGTACTTGTTTGTTTAGTTATTGACTTCTTTGTTGTTCAATTAAGA